TTCTATACCAATGATGAACTGAAGTACGATGGAGTAATGGATAGCGGCTCAGATTGAGGAATTCCTGTCGAATCACGTAAGTGAATTACATTCACTTACGTACTAATAGCCTAGAGAAATCCTCTTCTTCTCCCTCCCAGCTATGGGTAAATAACAGGACAGAACGAGTTTTATAGCCTCGGATAGCAACTGGTCTACCGCAGAAAGAAATGGCAATCTACTGCGCTAAAAAATCTGCCTCGTCAGTCATGTATCGAAAGATACCTGATCGCCTAAGCGTGTATCACGCATGATACATAACTGACTGACTGACTGTATCAGTGTGATATCTGCTTTTGAATATTATCTATGAAATGATGAACTGCGATCTTGTATTTAATTCTTCAAATGACAACTTGATATTTCTTAATGATTTAAATACAGAGAGTTAATAGATAACGAGCTAGTCTGGTGTTTCTTGAAATATATGCCCAGTGGCTGAGAGAGGATTTCTCTAATAGTTTAAAAAACATGAAAAGAAAAAGTAAATATAAAAAATCCGACATTTTACTGAAAAGTTCTATGCCCAAAATCTTTCCAAATAATGTTTACCCTAGTTTTAAAGAATATTCTTTTATATTATAAAATGTCAATTTGTAGGATCTTTTCGATTATTTTCGGATCAATGACTGAAACACTGTAAACATAAAATTAAGTATTTTCAAGTAATGAACTTTAAGTAGTCATGAAAGACTGTGTAACGATATCAGTTATCTTGTTAAGGAACACATTTACAGGATGTTAAAGAAATCGTTTTGACAAGTATTACCTTGACAAAGGAGATCAGCTGAGTGGAGCAGATCTTCCATGAAACAGATCAACCGAGTTTAACAAAGAAGGTCAACTGAGTGGATCCAGACCCTGGATTCTTGATGAATTACTTTTTAGACGAAAGCTGACAGGACAAAGTAGGCCTGTTCTCTATAAGACAGGGGCCCCTAGCACCGTTCGGTCCCTCACCTTGCTTCACTTTTCCTCGTTCGCCTACGTGGTGTCGGGTCTGAGCTGCAATGCTACAAATATATTATACAAACCGCAGAGGAAAAGTGAAGAATTGTTGTACGAGATTCCAACATGGAGAGTTTGGGACCCAAGTTTTAGAAAAGAGTGGAAAGGATCTAACGACGCTAACTCTCGAAATTATTGATCAATTTTCATGAGCATATTTTAGCCGAACTACGATTCTCAGCTAGAAGAGTATCTAAGAATTCCTGGGAAAATGCTAAGCTTAGAATTCATGTGCAGTCGAAGGTGCAGAAGCTGTCACTCAAATGAATGACAAAATGTCTGAATGCTGAGCAGAAACAAAATCGAGTTGACATATCGAAACTGATTTTGATTAAATTTCAGTGATTAGTTTTTAAAACTGCTTATTTTCTTCATCGGTCGATTATGGCTCTCCACTAATTCCTGTCCTTTGTAGCTGTTATTAAGGCTTACCTTTTACCTATCTCTCCCAATTACTGTCCTGCCATCCACCTAAACAATCTCTTTAGGTACGTTATTTGCTGTTTTCCTCTATCCCTCTTGCCTTCAATAGGTCCTGTGAGGGCCATATTTTCTAAGCCTCTTTCCTCATTATGTTCTCCAGAAATTTTAATTGTCTCTTTCTGATAAGTATAAGTGTCATTTTGATTTCCAATTTCCCTTAAACTTCGTCGTTGCTCTCATGATCAAGCCATGCTATTCTTATCATCCTTCTGTAGAACCACATTTCTATTGCCTCAGGTCTTTGCTTCATCTGCGACGAGATTGCCCAGCATTCACTGGTACATAGAAGGACCACTATTACATAATAGTTCAGTACTCATTTTCTTCTTTTCTGTTGTAGCATACCTACGGACGATAATGGGTATTTCCCCATTCACATAAATACAGTAGTAAATACTGTATGTTGATCTGCAGTTGGAGATTCTTCTCCAGCTGTGCTGGTAAAATTCTTTGCCTCCGGGCAGAGAGTGTCCCCAGACGAAGCTATGTCGAAGGGCACTGTCGCGTTTCGGGAAACAGCTACCCGAACCCATTTTATACGGGGTCTATGCGGAATTTTTGGCAGAGCCTACGGGCCCGGATACGCCACATTACATCCAGCCTTGTGCCACATCTGACCGCGTGAGGCGGTTGGTAGATAACCTGCAGTTTGGGATTCGTCTCCAGCTGCGCTGGTCAAACTCTCTCCAGGTTGAGAGGATCCGCAGACGAGGCTATGTCGGGAAACATCTACTCGACCCCGTTTTATACGGGGTTCATGGGGAATTTTTGCCCGAGCCTATGGGCTTGAATACTCCACATTAAATTCGGCCTTGTGCCACATCTGACCACGTGGGGCGGTTGGTAGATATCCTGCAGTTGGAGATTCATTGTGGAATTGACTTGACTCACTTCTAACAGTTGACTACTAGGCGCCGCTGCCGAAACTTATGTGTTGTTTTTCTCTCTTTGCCTCTGTGCAGAGAGTGTCCACAGACGAGGCTCTGTCGAAGGCCAGAGTCTCGTCTCGGGAAACAGCTACCCGAGCCCGTTTTATACGGGGTCTACGGGGAATTTTTGTGGAATTCACTTGACTATCTTCTAGCAGTTGACTACTTCATCTACGCGCCGCTGGCGAATCTTACATGCCGTTCTTGCCCTAAGTATTATCGTTTATTGCCAACCTTCATTTGATTATTTTTTTCAATAACATTCTCTAGGTTACAACATTTTGGCTCCGAGGATGAGATAAAATTGCAATAGTTTCTAACTTAATTTTCCCGTTTCTTAATCCTTTGCTTAGTTTTTGGAGGGCACCTTTTACTATTCAAATTTCCTTGTCACATTTTCCTGTCTCTGTTAAAACACTTCCTGGATATTTAAATATTCGTATTTGCTTGATTTCAGTGTCCTCAGTTTGTAATTCACATTTTGATATGTTCTTTTGCTGACTGTCATAAATTCTGTCTTATTGATAGTTTGTCTTTTCTTCTCGCTTTCCTATACGAACTTCTGTAGTTGCCTTTCTGTGTCTGCTATCAAGACGGTATAATCAGCATATCTTAATACGTTGGAGAATCAAATATGCAAGAAAATAAATATTATAAATAATAATAGTGCAATAAAACATGACCCATGATATTAACTGTTGAAAGCGCTGCTTTCTGATTGGTCGTTAAATGCCAGATTATGATTTGCTAGTTCAGTGTGCATTGGTGTAGAACGCAATTTTGGCGAGATTTGTTTTTGATGAAAGCACAATGCTATTTTATCGCCATTTTTACCATTTCAGAAGCAGTGAAGCGTGTTTCTTCATATTGTGAAATCACGTGATGTTTACAATCCTTGCAGAAGAGAAGAAAACGAATACAACAACAAAATCCCTGAGATTATGCAAATAAATAAATAAAATAAAGTATAACGGTAGCGTAAGGAAAAAGGGGAAAGGTGAGATAGAAATGATACCCCTAGTTATTTTGATAAATCTTTAAACCACGTCAGTTGCATAGTGCGCATAGGATGTGTGGAGGTTTTTGGTCGAGGAAACGAACAGGAAGAGATACGGATAAAAGACGTAATGCGATGATAACTTTTATTTTAACCGTTTCCTTATAAGGAAACATTCGGCATTCATTGACCAAGCAGCCTGTACTACCGTCGGTTGAAATTTATAAAATCTTTCTCTTGAAACAATTTTTCAGAAAAAATAGATTTCTCAGAAATGGAGTAATGCTTTCATATTTGGGTGAGAGCTGCAAGACTAGCCTTGATAGGGCTCAAAAGTATGTCCGTGCCCTTGTGGGTGATGAATTATTCTCTACCCTTCGACCTCTCTCCCAAAAGCCAGATGTGGGAAAACTCTCGCTGTCCTACCGCTACTTCCATGGAAAGTGCTCGGACGAACTACGTTCCCTGGTCCCGCCAAGTCAAACCTTCACGGCAAGAAAACGCCATGCCACTTACATGGTATCAAACCACCCACATTCCCTTCATATTCCATCGGTGAGAATGGTTAGAAAGTTTGTCTTGCTAGATCAATTACGATTATGTAGTGAGTTCGATCCTCATTGGGTACCCATACTTTCTGCTTTGTGCCACATCTACGCTACGCTTAGGAAATCATTGGGCACTTCGAGGTGGTGTAATGGTTAGTAAGCTTGTCTCGCTAGAACAATTACGACTGAGCACTGAGTTCGATCCTCACTGGGTGCCCTTTACTTTCGGCCTTGTGCCACATCCAAGCTAAGCTTCGAAAATCACTATTTCATCGCGGAGAATTAAGTTCCACTCGAGCAGCTTCTTCCCGCAAACCCCGTGGAACCGAGTCTCAACAGGATGTTTCCCCGATCGTTACAGTCTTAACCTGTTCATATCTAGAGGTAATCTTCCACTCCTATACGCACAAATGGCTTCCTAACATAGTCCTCTACCCCGAGTGGCCTCCGGACATTGTATAGGGTAAACCCTAATGTTAAAAAAAAAGAAGAAACGTCCAGTAGCAGTTATCGTTCTTTCGTTTTGACTTTAATGGGCGTCTTCCTTCCTCAGCTTTCGTTTGAAGTAGTATGGATGGTCAACATCTTGCGTGTCCTATCCATTTTAGTTGTTGCTACTATTGAAAGTCCTCAAGTAATATCGTTTGTGTTATTTATTACAGTTCTTTGTTTCTGATTTTCGAGCATCTGTCCACAAGGTCCGAAAAAGAATTGATTGATAGATTCGTTTTTTTTTACGGTTTATCAGCTCTTTTAAAGGTAGAAAATAGTTTTAGATTGCAAGAATTTTATTTTTTATTTTTTTTTAGATAATAACGATTCAGTGTTACAAGTCTAACTAATTAACCCATACATGGTGCGGAAAATGAGTGAACTGATATTTTTCCCAAACGTATTTGCACATAAGTGAATATAACGAACCCAACTGGAACTAAAACTCGGCTCTCCAATTACAAATTCCGAGTCATTCTTCATTACACCACCCGCGCATCTAAGATTACAGCACCTGATATTCCCGGTCACCCGTCTAGTTACTGATCAGGTTCGACGTTGCTTAACTTCAGTGATCGCACGGGAACCAATGTTTCAACGAGATGTGGGCGTAAGCAATATTTATGAGGGTTTCCTTCCTAGCTTTTTGTTTGAAGTAGTGTGGAGTAGCAACATATTAATTGTGTCATTATTTTCTCTTCGAGGTACATGTGTTATCCATTTTAGTTTTTTCCTCGAGTGATGCGGATTCGGTTATCTGGTACATTTCTTTGTGATTCTGTAGCGCCAGTCGATGAGTTTCGAAGAAGAATCGTTTTCGTCAAGACCCACACGTATCACTCGCTCAAAGCCATTTTTAATCATTCATGTGAGAAAACGATTTTATATAGATGACAGTTTCTGAACGATTGTATACCACAGTTTATGTTTCTGAATTTCTGAACAGCTTTGGCACCATGTATGACCTCTTTATGAAAGCCTCGATTTGAGGAGACTATTTAAAACCAGGACTCCACTTTTCAGGTTAGTTTTTGTAACAATTTGCGCTGTTGGAGGAAATTATCTCTAGCGTATTCTATTCTATGTTCAATTTTCATGTACTCTCTGGAGCTGTACAAGGAAACGACCATTCTTCTAAACTCTTTAGCAATGTATCTTATATATGAGTTTCACTTGTAGTCTCGAGTGAACTTGATTCCCAAGAGACATTCAAATCAAGGAGTCTCATTGACAGTTCAACCGTTGATCAAGTTTGGAGAAAGTTTAGCGTCAACGATAAAAGGAGAGATCAATTTGCAGGCTCTGATCATCTTAATTTGGCGAGCTGCGCCAGTAGACAGTTATCATCTGCATATATTTTTACTAATGAACTGGCAATGTCCCTGGATATATCATTAATATAACCCATAAAAGACAGTAGAACCGAGGATAAAACTTTGAGAAACCTGCCAAATGTATTTTATTATTATACATATCAACAGGCCATTTGGCATTCTATAACTTCAGTTATTTTTTACTATTGATTTTCTTCATTTTTCAAATGTTTCGATTTTAACATCATTTACAACAGTTTTTTTTTATTGCTTTCCAGAGATGATCTTTACTTGAATATTGTTTTTCATTCTTAAATGCGTCGGTTAATGACACACCACAAGTTTTTAATGCGATCAATATCGAAGAGGACCAGCAAACATTCCATTATTGTGATGATATTGAAACATTTTTGGCAAGCTGGGCAATATTCAACTTAGCAGACTGTGAAAGAGGACATACTTATACGCTTTAGTTTAACCCTTTCAGCCCGGCGTTCCTGAACAATTTTAAGCCTTCTGCCTGAGTCAAAATTCGCAAATAATTGGTATATGTTTCACGGTAGAGTAATGGACTGAAGCATCGGATTGAGGCATCGGAGAGTCGAATTCGAATTCCAGTCGAATCCATTTTATTCACTAACATGCTAATGCTCTTGGGAAAGGCCGGAATCCTCTTCTTCTCCCCCACCCAACTATGGGTAAATAGCAAGGCAGACCGAATTCTATAGCCTTGGCTGGCAACTACCGCAGAAAGAAATGGCAACCTACTGAGGGAAAAAATTCTGCCTCGTCAGTCATGTATCGAAAGATACATGATCACCTATGCGTGCATCACGCATGGCACATAAATGACTGACTACATGTGTTTATCCACCGTTCAACCGGTAGCTAGTCATTAAGCCATTTTCTCTTCCATCGGTAAAGTGGTGATCAGAGTTCAAGGTGTTAATGATTCTAGTTTTCGCCATGTACCATTAACAAAAAAATCTTATTAGAGAACTTAAATTAATTCTCTGCGTCATCAATTTTGAAAGGATATAATTTGATTGCCTACAATACTATCCCCAAACACTATTTCACGTCCGCGTTGTTGTCTTCTAATTTGCGTTGGTTGACTGTTTCTGTAAAAGAACCATTTTCTATCTGTCAATATACTCATCTAATCAACCTCTACTTTCATCATGATTCTAGGCCGATCACCGAAGTTAAGCAACGTCGATTCTAGTCAGTACTGGTCGCTTCGGAATATCAGGTACCTTTAGCTTAGATATGCGGCTTGTTTGGTTGGTTTTGTTTAGCGGTATATCAACATCTCTATTTAATGCCGAAATCTAAATATTTTATACGCAATTTTATGGCTTCAACCAAAGATATTTTGTACATAATTTGATACTTTCACGGCAAACGTATATTTTTTTAGATATATAGTTTGTAGATGATAAAATGTATTTGTAGTAAATTTACTATAAAATATATTTGTAAAATTTAGTAATGTATTGATTTTTTATTTTGCTATAAAAGTCATATTACAACTAGTCATATTGCCTTGCTGCTAGATGTAGTTTATCGTCATACCCAGGACTAGGATGTAAAGGTGATATGGCTTATGGCCATATCAGGTTGAAAAAACCGTTTCTCGTACGAACACCAATGTTAAGCAACGTCGAGCCTAGTCAGTACCTAGATGGGTCGCCGTTTGTCAGATGTCAGTTTAGCTTGAAATAAACAATGTAGTTATTAATAAGAAGAGTTGTTATTAGTGTCTGCAAGATTTCACAGCTCTAACATCACTCCTTCATAGTCAGCCTATGTACGAGAGAGGGCTGAAAAGCAAATAATTGGTATATGTTTCACGGTAGAGTAATGGACTGAGGCATCGGATTGAGGCATCGGAGAGTCGAATTCGAATTCCAGTCGAATCCATTTTATTCACTAACATGCTAATGCTCTTGGGAAAGGCCGGAATCCTCTTCTTCTCCCCCACCCAACTATGGGTAAATAGCAAGGCAGACCGAATTCTATAGCCTTGGCTGGCAACTATCGCAGAAAGAAATGGCAACCTACTGAGGGAAAAAATTCTGCCTCGTCAGTCATGTATCGAAAGATACATGATCACCTATGCGTGCATCACGCATGGCACATAAATGACTGACTACATGTGTTTATCCACCGTTCAACCGGTAGCTAGTCATTAAGTCATGAAAAGCCCTCTCTCGTACTTGGAAATAAACAATGCAATTATTAATAAGAAGAGTTGAAATTAGTGCCTGCAAGATTTCACACCTCTAACATGAATCTTTCATAGTCAGCCTATGAATTTTTCAGACCATTATTAGATTACAGCTGACGGCTTACTTGAAAAGGTTAAGATTGTAGTGCTTAGAGAAGCAGACGAGCATAAGCCTGTTACAGAAAATAGCTGTTCTTAGGGAAAACCTGTCTGGCTGTAACTTCTCTTTGTACTTGGAAATGAGGGTGGGCGTATCATTGTCTGTCCTTGGTGTGTAGGTCCTAAAGAATGGGACCCGTCGGAACAATTGTCATGGAAATAGTAACAGAGGAGTAATTGGCTTTCGATGTTGCGTCCATAAGAGAGATATTTTAAATGGAGAGTTTTCCTAAATTTTCAGGTGTTCTAATGCTTTTGAAAACAAAAAGAGAACACAATGTTTTCATGAAACAAAATAGTTAATTTTTACGGCATTATAATGGGTAAAGATGATATATAAATTTTTATAGATACTCTATCACTGGTAATAATTGTCACAAGTGATACATAGGTGAAACCTCGAGGAATTTAAATATAAAGATTATATGAACAAAGAGTGATCTTTTATAAAACAGCACACTCGCTATTTGTTGGTCACTGTAATGAGTGACTATAATTTTGATTTAAGAAATGCTACTTTAATTAAAAGAGAAAGCAATTTACGAAGACGAAGTTGTATAGAAAGTGCTTTAATCGCTAGATCATCCTCATTAAATCTCCGTCAAGGTTCTCACAATATTTCACTTTTCTTGGCTACATACCAGAACGAGATTGATTGATCAATCCGTTATCTACGGCTTATGAACCCTTTACATGTTATTTAAAACCGGAAAATATATTTAGATTATAACAGTTTTTTTAGATAATAATGGTTTAGTGATACAAGTATTACTAATTAACCCATAGCAGGGGTGGAAAAGAGGTGGATTCATACCTTTCTCAAGGGTATTTGCGCGTAAGTGAATATAAAAGAAAACAACGGGAACTCGGATCTCCGATTAATAATTCCAACCCATTACCATTACACCACCCGCACATCTAAACTTCAAGCACTTGGTATTCAAAAGCGCTCACCCATCTAGTATTGGCCAGGCTCGACGTTGATTAACTTCGGTGAGCCTACAGGAACCGGTGTTTCAAGCCTAAAGATGTATCAATTTGGATTGTACTAATGTTTTTAAGAAGGGCAGATTTTCCATAGCTCTTCTAGCACACATTTCATCATTGACTGACTCATTTGTTTTTTTTACGGCTTATCAATCTTTTCCATGTAATTTAAAGCCAAAAGATATTTGTAGATTGTAAGAATTATTTGGAGATAATCATTTACTGATACAAGTCTTACTTATTGACCAATAGCTGGGGGAGAAGAAGTGGATTAATAACTTTCCCAAATATTATTTTTACGTAAGTGAATATCACGAACCATAATGTAATTGGAAATCATCTATATCTGATTTCCAATTCCAAGCCTTTCAGCCATTACACTAAACACATATTAAAGAATACAGTACCCGGCATTCCTAAACAGTCGCCCATCAATGTATGGGGTACCCAGTGAGGATCGAACTCACTACTCAATCCCAATTGTTCTAGCGAGACAAGCTTGCTAACCATTACACCGCCTCGATGTGCCCAATGATGATTTTCCAAGTGTAGCTTAGATGTGGCACAAGGCCGAAAGTATGGGGTACCCAGTGAGGATCGAACTCACTACTCAATCCCAATTGTTCTAGCGAGACAAGCTTGCTAACCATTACACCGCCTCGAGGTGCCCAGTGGTGATTTTCCAAGTGTAGCTTAGATGTGACACAAGGCCGAAAGTATGGGGTACCCAGTGAGGATCGAACTCACTACTCAATCCCAATTGTTCTAGCGAGACAAGCTTGCTAACCATTACACCGCCTCGAGGTGCCCAGTGGTGATTTTCCAAGCGTAGCTTAGATGTGACACAAGGCCGAAAGTATGGGGTACCCAGTGAGGATCGAACTCACTACTCAATCCCAATTGTTCTAGCGAGACAAGCTTGCTAACCATTACACCGCCTCGATGTGCCCAATGATGATTTTCCAAGTGTAGCTTAGATGTGGCACAAGGCCGAAAGTATGGGGTACCCAGTGAGGATCGAACTCACCACTCAATCCCAATTGTTCTAGGAGACAAGCTTGCTAACCATTACACCGCCTCGATGTGCCCAATGATGATTTTCCAAGTGTAGCTTAGATGTGGCACAAGGCCGAAAGTATGGGGTACCCAGTGAGGATCGAACTCACTACTCAATCCCAATTGTTCTAGCGAGACAAGCTTGCTAACCATTACACCGCCTCGATGTGCCCAATGATGATTTTCCAAGTGTAGCTTAGATGTGGCACAAGGCCGAAAGTATGGGGTACCCAGTGAGGATCGAACTCACTACTCAATCCCAATTGTTCTAGCGAGACAAGCTTGCTAACCATTACACCGCCTCGAGGTGCCCAGTGGTGATTTTCCAAGCGTAGCTTAGATGTGACACAAGGCCGAAAGTATGGGGTACCCAGTGAGGATCGAACTCACTACTCAGTCCCAATTGTTCTAGCGAGACAAGCTTGCTAACCATTACACCGCCTCGATGTGCCCAATGATGATTTTCCAAGTGTAGCTTAGATGTGGCACAAGGCCGAAAGTATGGGGTACCCAGTGAGGATCGAACTCATTACTCAGTCGTAATTGTTCTAGCGAGACAAGCTTGCTAACCATTACACCACGCCGAGATGCCCATGATGCTTCGATATATGATAGAGTTTGAAATATATTTTCACGGACAGCAGTTATCTATTCTATATAAAGTTGGTAGTGATCGGTCTGCTCCGACTTAAATTACGTTAGAGACGTAAATACAGGTTTTTAATAAATACTATTCTCTGTCTCTTCTGGATGTGGTACTTTTACTCAATGATTAAATAGTAATAAAAAAATAAAAAAAGACAAAATGGAAAGCAAATCGCAGAGCATTCCCTGAGAAATTAAAAAAGATATTTAATTAAATTAATGAAAAAAGTGTGACAACAACAGAATAAAAAACTCTTTCAATATCAGCAGATAGAGTCATAAAAAATTAAAACAAGTAATTAAAAACCCCAAAAGAAAATGCATCAAATGCATTTTCCGCAATGACTTACATCAGTTGAATTTTCGCATCATTGCAAATCTCTCGAGATAAACGGATTAAGGGGCGGGGACTTCGAAAGCAGATCTGTTGATTACACCAAAGTAAACAGACGCATGCGCAAAATCGCTGTCATGGTTCAGTAGTTAGGACATTGATATTAATAAGAAAAGAATGGGCTGCTTTACTATGAGAGTAACAGAATCTTCAATATCACAGAAAAAAATAAAAATATTTCTCTATAAAAGGCATTTGTGTAGCGAGCACCGAAACAAAACAATTACTGAAAGAATTGGCATTCTTTAAATAAAAACAAAATATTCTCAATGACCTTGAGTATTCAAGTACTTAAAAAAAAAATAGAAATTTTGCCTTTTAAAATTTTGTTCATTGTACAAACAGAATTTATGAGAATTGATTGACTGAATTGTTTTTTTTTTTTTTTTGAGGCTTATCAAACATTTGCTGTTTTTTTTTTAAGCCGAAACATAATTTAGATTGTAAGAATAATTCATATTTTACAAGTGAACATTGCATCAACGATTTCGCTTTGGAGAATAACAAGGATTTTTCCAGATACAAGTCTTACTATTTAACGCATTGCTGATGGGAAGAGATCGGTTCATACGTCTCCCAACGGTATTTGTTCGTAAGAGAATGTAAAGAATCCAACTGGGATTTGAAATCACGGAAGATGAACAACGCCAGATGGGTGACCGCTTGGGTTACCAGGTGCTGTAAGCTTGGATATGTGGGTGGTGTAATGAAATGAGAAATTGGTATTGCAACTGAGCTCATCATACCAACCTACACAAATACTTCTAGGAAAGTTATGAAGCCATCTCATTTCGTTCCAACTATGAGTAAGTAGGAGGAAAGAAAGGTCATGTAGCCTTGGTTGGCAACCGAGTTAAGAGAAGGAAAGCTCTTAATACAAATCAGTCTGAAAAGGACTGGCAATGATCGGTTGAGCTTCTTATAGGAGCGAACGGCCAACATGCAGCTAGGAGATGGAAAACTCTTGTTCAAAAAGCCTGTCTGTAGCATCGTCTGATATTGGGGTATGCAGTTCACCAGTACAGGACACGGAGCTATGATGGAATGTGTGCAATGCAAGGAGCAAGGAATTGGCCACATTAAACAATTCCATTCGGCAGGGGGATTTTTAGGAAAAAAAAAAGAAATTTGCTGAAGCCTAATCCGTCGTTCTTGACGGGAAAAACCATATATATGATTAATACAAATGAAATTTGTCACTTAGCCTATTGATGTTATATTCAGGGCCT